CGTAGCATTTCGGTTTTACGAGCTGTTAAGAGACAGAAGCAGGTTTACCGAAGGTTGCATTGAAGGATGTTGATGCGGTTGCAGTGACGGTCAAGCCAGGTCTTCCCGTATGCCTGAAGATTGGTGCCAAGTACGCGTTGAATCTCTGCAGAACAGGCAAGTACGTATTGTTCAGACGGCATGGTGTTGAATACTTATGGCTTCTTTCAGAAAGCCGATAATTCCAGTTCACCATATGTTGGCTCATGCAGTAACGATTAGATTGGTGGAAGACCAGCTTTCTTACCCATTTCTTACGCTGCTCATGTCCGGTGGTCACTGTATCTTGGCGCTGGCCAATTCAGTCAGTGAGTTTCTGGTTTTCGGGAATTCGCTGGACGTGGCGCCTGGCGAGGCTTTTGACAAGGTATACGACGTTTGCTATATAATGTTTATCGATATTTTCGATGTGATCAAATTCGTCATCACCAGTTTAGGACTGCCAGTGTAGTGTCTTACATTTTTTTGTAACACAGGTTGCTAGAAGGCTGCAGCTTTGTCACGTACACCCGACATATGAGAACCTCAGCGGCGGTGTGCTAATAGAAAAATTTTCAGCTGACGGTGATCCTTTCGCTTTTGAGTTTCCGTATCCGTTGAGGGTGCATGATTGCAACTTTTCTTTCTCCGGTCTGATGACGAAAGCTTATCAACACCTGACAAAGCTCGAAGCTACTTTTGGTACTACTTAAGTCGTAGTTTTGAGTTGTGCATTGACTTGGAGATTGTCTGTTTGAATAGGATCTCAAATCAGCGATGATAAGCTGAAAGACTTGAGTGCCAGTTTTCAGCATGCCATCTTCAGGCATATCGCAAAAAGACTGCTGCGCGCATTTCAGTATATCAACGAAAGACACCTAATGCCGAACGGACATCCGCGTTATTTGGTATGATTTTTTGTTTGACGGGCAGTTTCGTACGAATAGCGTATTTTAGGTATTGTCTGGCGGAGTCGCTTCGAACGCATATATCAGGAAGGGTCTTGCGTACGTTGCTGAGCGTAACGACTTTGCGTTGCTTTGTCCACCTAAAGAGCTTTGCACAGACAACGGCATCATGATAGCATGGTAACTGTTGTTCATCTGCGTTGATGTCGCAACGTATCTTTTGTTGATTAGGTGCGGTGTAGAGAAATTCATCGCCGGTGAAGATATACTCTATGATTTGCCAGAGAGATTAGAAGTATTTTCACGGTATGCATGGTCCTTCTCCGTTATTGTTTTGAATTTGATTGCAATGATTATATTTAGAGTTCCCCTTGGCAAAGACATCAGTCAAGAGATCGCAGCTTTGCATATCCCAGCGTCGTATTTCAAGCTTAGTCTGAATTTCAGTTCTATGTAGAAAATGTTTTTTTTACAGCATTTATGGATTTGTGAATCGACACTATAAGAATTTATATGCAACATGTACGATATCTCAGAAATTTTTTCATGAATTCTGAAACCTGCTCCTCGATCACGAATTAACCGTTGTAAGATTTGATTGTATAGCTACTGTTGCTGCGAAAGCATCGGCAGTGAAATTTGTAGTGTAAGCTTTGGAGCCCTCAACAATGGATCGGAAAATGTGTTGTAGTTAATAATCGTTGATGAAGCGATCTCCAGGGAACAACTATAATTCACTGTTTACTTATCTTCCGGGATTTCGCGATGCCCTCTCTTCTGTCACCTCATTTGTGACTTATGCTTTTTTTATGTCACTGGTATTGTAGACAACAGTGCGTATGCGTCAATCCCACGAAAAAACAGTGCTCACGTACACGTTTAACTGCTATACTCTAATTGCTATCATTTTTATTGTAGAATAAGACAGTGATGCATATATTCCACTCGTTAGACCCCATGCCAGACTTTAGTAAGGTTTAAGAGACAAAAGGCATGTTGAAGTGATCAATATGGCTTATCTTTTGTTGCCGAATATTCCAATCAGTGGTATGGATGCGGTTTCCAACGAATGGGGTTCCCAGTAGAAGCGCGCATTGGACGCAATCGGTCATTTCTATACATAATCGTTTAATCAGTTATAACTTCTGGCGAAAGTGCCGCATTGATATAATACGATGGAATCGACCCACACGAGTACTCATGAAATTTTACATTGTGTGCGGAGTGAGTATTCGTTATCATCGGTTTACGTTAAGGTACAGATGCAGGTTTTAACAGTTTGCAAGTTTTTAGAATCTTGATTTAGTAACGGGTGAAAATGTCGCTTATAAAGTTGTGATTCGATTAAATTTAAAAGTAACAACTGCAAAAACTGCGAGATTCATCTAAGAAGATCGCTTAGAAGATGAGTTATATCACTGGTTTGAATTCTGATCTGCTAAGTTACTTATTCCTCATCTCCCAATCTAACTATAAAAGCATCAGATTGTAAGAAAGGAAATAGTGTTCAAGGCATTCAATAGGCAGCAGTTCAAGAGTGTTGCAGTTTGTTACAGCTTGGTTAAATCTTAGCGTCGTAGTTAAATAAAGTCTGAAATGCCTGGGTTTGCTAAACTCTAGAAGTAGCTTAAGCAATAATAGCAAAACTGACCAACAGTGTAATAAGTGAAGGAAGAAAAAATTATTATACCACAGCCGTATCCGTGAGAAATGTTGCTCTTTTCAGCTGGCTACCTTACGTCAGTTATACTTTGCCATGGCCGATCCCAAGCCCGGATGAGAAAGGAGGAGGGTTGGAGATCGTGGCAAGTCTCCGTAAAATTCAGCCACCTGCCACTTTGCCAACTCGAGGTAAATAAATGAAAATACCAGTTAGTTATGGGGAAGGAAATAGGATTCTACACGTTCAACTGAAACACTTGCATAATCGTTCTCAGGTTGATTTATCGAACTGTTACGAATTCATTTGTCTCGCGGAAATCAGTTGTACAAAGAACGGTTCCTGCTCGAAACCTGTCAGAAAACTACATACCAAGAAATTGATTATACGAGCAGTCAATCCCACGACGGAAGTTCCTTGTTGCATGTTGAAACACTTGCCTAGCCCTGGCGAAGGTAATTCGGTGTTTCGGTGCACATCTGTCGTACGCCCCGTCTGTAGACATGCACTATGCTGGCGT